AACTTTCTGAGTAGTAGCATGATGTCAAAAGTAGAAAATTCCACATCTTACTGCATGTAACAACAGGTCAAAGTTCAAACACAGGTACACTAAAAATACTGTAAAACATTCCTTCAATAGGGGACCTGCAGGAAGTGGAGCAGCAATAAATCACCCTCTCCAAGATTCAGAATCCCAACACTGACAAATAACAACTTAGGGGAAAAAAGGAAGAGGGAGGTGGATCCCTGGGACTCAGGAAGGGAAAAAAAAACTGGAGCCTAGAGAAAAAGCGAAGAGTCAGTCCACAACATAAAAAAAACGGGCCATCAGTACTTTCTCTTTGGCTCTTGACTCGTGGGACAGAAAGGAAGACAGAATCTACAGAGTAACACTGAAAACAGATGACTTCAGAGGTTTTCAGAGAGAAATGCACCAGTGGAACAGAGCACTGGACACTGTGCACTACAGCAGCTAGTGAGGGATCCAGCCGAAGCATTTGCCATATCCCCAGCCAAATGCCATTTCAGGGAGAGGCCAACTGCATGGGACTCCAGGCAGCCAAGGGTTGGTTTTGTCTCAGGGCTTCCAATGTTAAACTCCCATGGTGACGGGGTAAGAGACATCAATGGGGACATCCATGGTCAGGGAGTCAAAGTCAGGCAGGCAAGAGACATGAGACTGTTATAAACTAAACAACTCAGCCCCACTCCCATGCCCAGAGGCCAGGTTCAAACTGAATTTCGGTGGATCTGAAGGTCCCAAATGGGACACCACCCTAATCCTACTCCGGATCTTACTGCCTTCCTTGTCTCTCAGGGAGAGCAGGGTAAAGCCTTTGAATTGGACACTTCCACCCCAGAAGATAACCACAGGCTTGAAATCACAGAGAAATTTCTTCTATGATTTCTTTGCTACTGGTCTTTTGTTTGGTTTATTTTCTTTTTGTTTTTGTTTTCTAGTGTAAACATTGTTTATAGTTTCTTTTCTTTTGTTCTTGTTTCTTTTTTTCCTTCCTTCCTTGTTTCTTTCCTTCTTGTCTTTAAAATTTTACTGAGCTTGGGTAATCATTCCTCGTCCTTTAGCCTTACTTTTCTTCTTTCATTTTTCTACTCTTCTCCCTAATAAATTTTCTCCCTTTAGGGTAAAATGCTCTATTTAGTGAATATTTACTGTACCTAATACTCTGATTTGCCTTAGATTTTGCTATATGACTACAAAATCTTTTATCTAGGTTAAAGGTGGCAAATTATTAGTCACCAGCTTGTCATTTTCCAGTCTGTGTTTGACACTATTGTTATTATTGACTATTCTACTTTAACCAAGGTGATATAGCTGTGATTGGTTGATCTTCCCTGCATTCCAATAGCTAGATTATCTGGAAATATAAACAACACTGCAGCCCAGTAACAAAGAACTGGATGCTAGGAAAAACAGGCTGTAATCCATCCCTGATAAACAAAAGAGGCATGATCCTGGGATAGACTCAAAGTCCAAAAGCCAGCTGCATCTAGAAGACATCTCTGAAAAATAGTCGTTTCCTTCAAAGGTCTCAATACTAGCAACAAAGCGACCTACCTTAAGCAATTAACAAGCCTCAACACAGAAAACAAACAAGTAAAGAAAATAAATTAGAAAACATGGAAGAAAGATGCAACCCAATACACTCAATTCACCCAAGGCAAATCCAGGGAGCCTTGAAGCGGAAGAAATTAAAAGCCACCCAGCTGTACTTTCTGAATGGCAGTAGTGGAAGTACCAAAATAGATGAATAACTGTCTTGACAAAAGCCAAAACAGAAATAAACTATACAGATAATGAAATGACCACCACAATAAAGGAAATGGTTAGTGGAAATAGAGGGGACAGATTTAAAAAAAAATAGAAGACTTTAGCAAGGACAGGGAAATCATGAATGCCCAACACAGGAAATCAACAAAAACTCAGAAGCCAGCACAACGGACATGGAAAACTTATTCACAGAAATACTAGCAGAAAACTTTCAAAGCATGGAAAAGGAATTTGACATACAGAACTGAGCCACACAGAGCTTCTAATTAATCATGATAAGAAAAAATATACCAAGGAATCAAGATTCCAAAAATTCAACACAAGAGCAGAATGTTAAAAGCTATTAGAGAAAAGAAACAAATCATTTATAAAGGAAAACACATTAGAATCTTAGCGGACTTCTCAACACAATCCCTAAAGTCTAGGAGAGCTTGGAGTGAAGTACTTCAAGCCCTAAAAGAAAACAGCTTCTATCCCACATTCATAAAGTTATATCTCCAAATTAATGTAGAAATAAGATAGTTCCATGATAAAGAAATTCATTACCACTAAACCAGCACTCCAAGTGCTGAAGGATATTCTAGAAAAAGACAGTCCCAAGAATCTCAACAAAAGGCATAGAAAGCAGTTAAATAGAAAGGAAACAAAGGGAACCAACAATAGGAAAATAATACAGTGACAAAGGTAAGTCAATATATTATCAGTTATAATCATCAGTGGAAATGGTCTCAATTCACAAATCAAAAGTCTAGACTGGCAGGATGGATCATGAAACAGTATCCAAGAATATGGTATGTACAAGAAACACATTTAACTCAAAAAGAAATTCATAGGCTGAAAATGAAAGGTTGGAAAACAATACTTCATGCAACAGTAACCTGAAAAAAAACAAGGGTAACTATTCTATATGCAGACCAAGTAGATTTCAGGCCAAGAAAAGACAAAGAAGGTCACTCCATAGTTGTTAAGGGAAAATTCCAAGATGAACAGATAACTACTATGTATATACAAGCACCAAGTATTAGCATACTTACTATATAAAAAATATTAACATATGAAATATCAGATAAGCAATTTTAATGGAAGATCTCAATATCCCACTGTCACAAATAAACAGATCAACTACACACACACACACACAAAAAAAAAAACAACCACAAAGAAATAACAGAGCTGAACCAAACCTTTGAATAAATGGACTTAGTAGATAACTGTCCTACCTAATGATAACAGAATACATATTCTTCTCAGTTCCACCAGGACTTTCTCCAAAACAGACCACAGACCATATGCTTAAATAAATGTAAAGGAACTGAAATCCCATGCATATTATCAGATCATAGTGCAATAAAATTGGGAATAAATGGCAAAAGAAACTTCAGAAAGTATATAAACACATGGAAATTAAATAATATTCTCCTGAACAACCAACAGGTAACAGATGAAATTGAAGAAGAAATCAGAGAGGCTGGGGATCTAGAACAGTGGCATAAGTGTCTACCTGGCAAGCACGAGATCATGCATTTGATTCATAGTACCAAAAAAAAAAAAAAAAAAAGGAAGAAAGAAATCAGACAGTCTCCATAATTACATGATAATGCCAACATGACATACTGGAACTTATGGGACACAATGAAAGCTGTCCTACAAGGGGAAATTTATAAAGGTAAATTCCCACAACAAAAAAACTGTGAGCTCAAATAAGTAACCATAATGTTGAATCTCAAGGTTCTGGAAAAAGAAGAGCAAGTTAAGCCCAATGTTCATACAAGGAAGGAAATTATAAACAACAGAGCAGAAATTAATGCAACTGAGACTAAGAAAATGCAAAATAAAAGATAAACCGTTAGCTAACCTTATTTTTAAAAAGACAAATCCACAATATTAGACATTAAAACAATGAAATCACAATGGATCCTATAGAAATCCAGATCATTCACACCTACATTACAAACCTATACCTGATAAAGATGGAAAACCTCAAAGGGTAAACTCCTAGATAAATATGTTACCAAGCTGCATCAAGAAGATATAAAAATTCTAAATAAGCCAGTATTAGTCAATAAAATTGAAGAACTAAAAAACTACCATTAAAAAAAATGTTCAGGTCCTGACAGATTCACTGTTGAATTCTACAAAAACTTTAAAGATCTAATGCCACTAATCCTCAAACTCTTTAAAGAAACTAAAAGTGAAGAAATACTCCCAAAGTCATGTCTGGAAGCAAGCACTACTGATACCAAAACCAGAGACGCATCCAACAAAACAGAATTTTAGGCTAATGTACTTAATGAATGCAGATATAAAATTCCGTCAAGTCATGTGTCTTGGTTACTTTTCTTTCTGAGACAAAATATCTAACACCCAAAATTAAGGAAGGAAAGATCTATTTAGCTCACAGTTTATAGAGGTTTCAGTTAGTAATCAGCTGGCTCCAAGGCGGGTGACATGGCACAGGGGCAACAGTGCAAGGCAGCAGAAGACAGCAAAAGCAGCAAGAGCAAAAAAGGGAGCAAGCCTCTTTACCTGCCTTCTATTGTAAGCAGGCTGCCCCACTCAAGGAAGTGCAGCACTGTGCCTTCCTCTTACACAGGATGAGGATATTTACAAGGAGAGGACCCCAGCCTCCTGCTGAGGGGATTAGTTAAACTCTCAAGCTGACACAATGTGTCAACCATAACCCTTGTTAAAGGGGTATATATGAAACACAAGTAAGTTTCATGTTTGGAAGAGTTCTATCTTTAAGCTATCTCATTAGGCATATGGAAATATTCCAACATCGAAGCATTTCAGGGTTCCATACATTTTGGATAAAGGATATTCAGTCATACTCCAGACATTTAGTCACTGAAAAAACTCACGACCTTGTGCTCGCCAGGCAGGCAGGCAGTTAAGCCACTGAGCTAAATCCTTGGCCCCAAAATCTTGTTTTTTAAATAAATACGTTAGAAATATTTTTCACTTAAATTCTTCAATAAATTCTTGCTTATCACTTCGTAAATATCCAAATTTTATTTTTACATTTTAAAAAACATTCAAAAACATAGTTCTAATTTTATTTTTTTAATTAAGTTTATTGATGCATTTCAGGTAATCATAATGACCACATTCATCATAGGGAATTTGTACCTGTACATGCTATATCTTGATTTTTATTATTTTCTCCCCATTCTCTTGATTTTTATTATTTTCTCCCCATTCTCTTCCCCTCCCTCCCTTCAGGTACTTACCATCCATATGACATACTGATTAATATAATCAGGATCACTGAGTTGATTTATTAACGGAAGAAGAATTCCACGTGCAAGAATTTCCTGAAAAAAAAAATAATGAAAACAATAAAAATTTAATCTAGTATACTTCTCAATTCAGTGGAAAGTTTCCCGATACAATACTGTTATGTAATACAGGTATGATACACATCAATGTATAAGAAGGTAATATCTTATCCCTACTATCACTCAGTGATCTGCCATACTCGATTTAAAATAAACAAAATAAAGCTACCATATCAAATTAGACACACTGCCACAATAACATCTAGAGTGAAAAGAAGTAAGAGTATCTCTAGCACAGGAGTATTTACATCACTTTTTAAAAGGCAAAAGACAGGACTAAAACATTGTAAGTATGGATTAAGTTAAAAGTATAAAAATAGAAAAGGAAAAGTAAAAGATACCATCCCAATTTTATTTATTTTTATACCAATTTTAGAACCATGTTTATCTCAAGGGGATAAACCAAGCAGTTATATCAACACTGATTAAATCTGGATAGCTGACATATAAATGTCTGCTGTATTCTCTATACTTTGCTAGTTATAAACATTTTCCTAATTAAAAAACTGCAGGATAATTTACTCTTTGTTGTCTAGAATATACCTTTCCATTCTTTACAGTTATTTATGCTCCAATCTTTTAAAAAAAATTTTTGCCCTTCTTTTAAGCTTTTATAGAAGAATCAATTAACCAATTAACCTATTAAATAAACCTTGATCATTTCAGTTGAACACTTGTACTTTTATTCTGAAAATACACTCATGCCCTGTATTCACATATAGCCACATTAAGTTAATATTTTCTATGTTGTATGTCATACATTCCTCGGACCACTGATACTTATGAGACTTCTATTAGTGGAACTGGCCAAATGACCTACGGACTGATCTTCAAAAATATTTAACATATCCTCTGATCTTCTCAGGCAGGTACCAATAACTAAGAATTTAAAATAAATGTTATCGATAAAATGTTTATACCTGTTATCAACCTTCGTAACTTAATGGTTGTGATATATAAATATGAAAAGTATTTTTTGAGAATATTGGAGAACTAAGTTATTAGTTTAATATGATATTTCATTTCTCTTAGCCAAAATACTGATTTATTCTTATCAGATCTCTAATTTATCTGGGCCACTTTCTAATAAACATTACTAGAAGATGGTCTTTTTCTTTTTTTTTTTGTCTTTTTCATGTTTATCGGTACCAGGGATCGAACTCACGACCGCCTGCTTGTAAGGCAGGTGCTTATGCCGCTGAGCTAAATCCCCAGCCCCTAGATGGTCTTTTTCTTTAAAGAAATATTTTGTGTAATTCTACTGTTGTAAACTGTGCAAATCTGGGAACTATCATCCTATGATGAGTTTGTATTTCCAACAGACATTAATGAGGTCTCCAGTAAATCTTAGAGATTCACTAAGATATTTTCAGTCCCAAATTACAAGGAATTTCTTCCTTTGAAGTTAGTTTTAATCTCTAACTTCTTAAAAAATATTTATGTAATTATTCCACATTATGTCTTTGGCAACATGTTTGTATTTTAAAGTTTACTTTGTAAGGAGAAAGCTTGTGCACAAAGAAAAGTTTTTCCAAGGTATGTTTTCAAAATGAGAAAATGAAAAAGACACAAAAAAAAAAAAATAAGACATGGGAAAGAAGTTTAATTACATTTCATGTTTATTTTTAATGTAATCAGCTGATTGAGAAAACTTTGGACTTCTACTTTGCCTAATAAAGATAGGATTAAAGGCTATTCATGTGACTCAACAATTGCTGCACAACAGTTCCTGTACATTGAGTTCATACAAAGTAGCCATTTCCATGTAATTTTTATTTCAAGATCACCAACTTTTAAAAGATACCATCAGCTGTCAAGAGGGGTCCTGAAAGATACATAATCACTGAAGTCACGAAAAAAAGCACACTAAAAGAAGGTAAAGGTAATTAAACAGCAACTACCTTAGTCAAATACTGCGGTCTATACAACCTATATAAAAGATCTATGCCAAGGAAAGGGCTCATTCTTCAACTAATATTTAAACTGAATAAAAGTATCTTTTCCTAACTTCAATTTAATTACTGACAAAAGAAAACTGATGAAGAACTAGCAAGTGAAAAGAACAAAAACTGATCTGTTTAGTTCTCTACAATTATATTCACCCAAAAGGAAATGCTGGCCTAAAAGAGAAATCTACAATAAAACATAAATTTGTTCATTACAGTCTTACATATTTTAATCTATAACCTCATATAAAAAGTGGATGCTCATTCATAGCTCTTAGGAGTCTGCTTAATCCCAAAGGAGCTCAAGAGCATGTACACCATAGCGAGTAAGAGGACAAATGTAATATGTCTTGCCTTACAACTAATTCTTTACTTTAGTATTTGCTATGTGTCAGATAGTGTTTTAACCTCTAGGAATTTAATGACGACCAAATTATCATTTTAGAATATGGTAAAATACTATGAAGCGAGACAACTAAATTATTTATAGCAACTGGGAATTACAAGGAAGCTTAAGAGTCAGCATTCAGAAAGGCAGCTCTGAAGAAGAGTCACTAAGATGAGAAATAAGTACTATTGAGCCAAACCTTGATCAAAGGAAAAAAGCATCTAAGACAGATCAGAGGTGAATGAAGAAAATGACATTTTTGAGGAAGAAAGCTAGTGTGACTAGAGAACAGTGACTGCTAACAGACTTTACCCTGGACCAAAGTTTATTAGTAGGCACCTCTGAACCCTCTTCCCAATTAGGTTTCAACCTTCCATCGTTGCTGCATGCAATTCCAGCACAACTCCTGTTAAGTCAGTTTAGCCAGAACTCGCCTAGCCTTGGTATCTGATCAACTTCCTCATTCCCCTTTCTTGACAATCTGATTATCCTGGTCTGCCTTTGGCAAGAATTCTAGTAAGTCTGTTTGAACAGATTTTTTCCTTACATTTGATATTCCTCTTAGTAACTTTCCATCCACCATCCCAACACTCCTCTGTAGATATAAATATCCACTTGTCCTTCTATTAAAAACTGAGTCCAGTTCTACAATGAAGTCTGGTTTTCCCTATTGAAATAAAATCCATTTTATCACTTCACCGACTATCTAGCTTGTTATCTCTAATACTTCTGGCATGAAGGCATGAGCCTTGTAAGCCTCTAAAAGGACTCCGTATTTCAAAGGTTTGTTCTTTGGTCACACCATTTACTGATATGTAAAGAAAACTAAAAGACAGGATAGAGAGGCAAGGATAATACTCCATTTTGAACATTAATGTACAAAGGGTTTGTGGGTTACTCAATTGGCGATTTCAAGTGAGCAACTTGTGAAAGTGAAATGGAGCTCAGAAGGAAGTCCAGATTAGACATATAATTTAAAAGTCATTAATACGGCAGGTAAAAGACTGCAGAACCTGAGTATTTAAACACTAACCAGAAGAAGAGTTCAGAAATATGGTTACATATGAATCCAGTGATAGGCATACTAGATATTTTCCATTTTTAATAGTAACTACACCAAATATGTAATTGGTCATAACCAAACATAGACTAATCTGTCAGACTCTTCTCATAAAAAATTAGCACTTTCTAGTGATTTCACGTAAGTGCTATCATCACAGAAGTATGCTGAATTCAAGATAGACAGGTAATATTAGGAAATTACATGAGTATTGCTTAAATAAAGTATAAGTATAAAACTATGCTTCAAGAATTGGCATCCATTTTGGAGGAGGAAAGACTAAAACGACTATAAATTTACATTTTTAAGAAAATTCAGACCTTTCATTAACTCGTTCTACTAGGACATGGTCTTAAATAACTAGCATTTTTCAATTATATCTAACACCTAAAGCTACATGTTCTTTTTGTACATTTGAAAAATTTTATTCCACAGGTTTACATTAAGGGATTAGAATTCAAGACTATTTCTTTCATCTTACTCATTTTCCAAATATAACCTTAGTAGAACCAAGTAGAATCTTAGCTGCTCAGTGTTGCTTTTAAGTTTCTGTCCAGAAATGTTAATTTTTATCTAGCCTAATTTAAGGAAAGCTACCATATTAAGCAAACTTTTTAAAAGCATACTTTTGTTACAACCAAAATCCAAGTGCCTACCTCTAAGTCCTCAAAGTATCAGCCAGTGACATCTGGGGTACTGAGAAAGTGTGCAGCCAGAGTTAGAACCATCTTCAAAGTAACATGTATTTACTGTCTCATTCCTATTGTCCCACAGGCACACAGTGAGATTTTCAAAAGGAACACTGTATCATCCATCTATCTGCTAATGGAAAATATGCTTGTACCTACTTGTATTTTGGAATTTTCTTGGTTTTAATTTATTAAATTTTATTAATTTATTTTATTAATTTATTAAACAGAAATATTATTGAGAAAGCCCACATAAACAAAGGCACTTTGGGGTCTTCAATATGTTTTAAGAGTTTAACAGGGTCTTAAGACCAAATAGTTTGAAAACTAATGCTCGAAGTTTCTTTACAGTCATTATCTGATACGAGTTTAAGCTTACCCTGACAAAGTATCGCATGATCTTGTTCTGGAAATCTCCAGGAGGTAGCAATAAATATAGTAAGACCTCACACAAATCCCTTAGGAATCCTAAAAATAGAAAAATAGCTATAATAACATTAGAAAACCTTAAGTTTCCACCTAATTTTAATACAGGACACATTAAAAAGAGAAATAAGTAGTTCCATAATTTTACTAGCTTATTGCTTAAGTAATTAGTACACATAAGTATTCATTAAGAATTCCTTCACTGTTCTACAAATACTACTCATTACTCAAACTAATTTTTAATTCTGTTGTGTATTTGCAGTTTATCACACATTATCATTGCACACTTTAAAAGTTATTTGTGCATCTGAGGATTTACCTGTAATAATTCTTTCGAAGAAAATATCTCCACTATCTTAGTAGGCAATAACAAATGAAGAGTATACTATTTATTCATTTAAAAGAACTCAATTTATATAAACATACTACATGTCACTATATGTACTAGTTAGAGTCAACTACTATTTCGCAGTAGTGCCAAACAGACAAAAACTTAATTTTACAATCAATATAAAAAGAGAAAAAAGAAAAATTAGAAAAAGAAAGGAAAATCAAAGAAAAAGTTAAGCACATTTTCAAAATCTATAAAAATAATTCCCACGATTAAAATTACTGACATATCCTAGGAATAAAAAGATAATCCTATTAATTAAATAATACACCAAGGGGCTGGGGATTTAGCTCAGCAGCATAAGCAATATAAGCATATATATTTTAAAAAATATATATATATAAAATACACCAAGCAGAAAAGACTCAGTTTTAAAACTGGGCAAAGATCTGCAAGTAAAACTTGTCTATCTAAGCTCCCCATAAAGAAAGGACAAGTGCATTCAAATCTATAAATTTTACTCGAAGGCATATGATTATTCTCTTAGAAAACATTTCAGGTTTACCAGTTGTACTCTTGAAGTTAAACAGTACAGTCAAGAGAACAATTACTATAGCTCATAAAATAAAAATAATTAATTATAAAGTGTTGGTTATATGTTTAAAAGAAGGTTGGTCTTTTACCATTAAAACTGAAAAAAGGTATAAAAACTACTTGTAAGAGTTAAAATAAAATGCATTGTTTTCATTATGTTACTTGTTCTATATAAGAATAATTACACTCTCAGATGTGGTCTGCTACTTGTCTTTAACCAGTTAATGCTGTCAAAAATTATATTAAAAAGAAAACCTTCTTCATCTTTGGAAGAAGTGCACACTAGGTCACGGCAAACTTCCTTTTCCATTTCAACTTCAACTTCAAAGAAGGAATCTATAAGATCCTCTGCTGTACCTGGAAACAGAAAGGAACAATTCAATATATACAGAGTGATAAAGGAAAACTGACTTTTAAATTCTAATTTTAAAATGACGTAAAGACAATACCTTTCATTTGATCATCTTTCTCTGTTATTCTCTGTTGAGCCTTTCTGAATACTCTTAGGTGTGTGCCAAAATCATCTACAATTCGTGTAGTAAAATAAGGTTGCCAGTCTATTTCTTTTGCCCTTATAAAAGACACATCACACAAAAGCATACAAAAAAGTTCATTTTAATGACAACTGACACAACATGATTATCCCAAAGCCTGCAGATTTATACTAATTGTTACATCTTAGACTCCATAAGACTCAAAGTATGTTCTATTTCTCTAAGTCACCAACCAATATTATTTGAATTACATGTCACAAAAGTACTATCTAAATTCCTAAAACAGGAAAATAATTAATTTTTCTATTTAAATCTGAAATGAGTTTGACCATGAGTATATCACATTTTCTCAACCCAAGATAAAAGAAGATAGAAAGATCCAGCACTGTTTTGTTTGCTTCAGTGTTCCTTATAAATCTGCTCTGAATTCTCCATATTTTTCTGTTTAGGTATATAACCAAAATTCTCAACAAAAATACACAATCATTCTTATGAGCCTGGCTGACTCCTGTTTGTATACTACCACTTAAAAACATAATCTTCAGAAATAACCACTCAAACAGAAATGATCTACTTAAAGACAGCTATTTTAGCCAGAGGTTGTGTATACACCTGTAATCACAGCTCTCAAGAGGCTGAGGCAGGAGGATCACTGCAAATTTGAAACCAGCCTGGGCCACATTGTGAGTTCAAGGACAGCCTGAACTACATGGTGAGACCTTAACGCAAAAAAAAAAAAAAAAAAAAAAAAAAGGACTGATACAATAAAATAGCATCTATATAGAAGACAGTCTTTAAAATACCCCTAAAAAGAAGTTATTTCTATATTTCACAGAAGTTACCTAGTACTCTATACCAAAAGCAACATACCTTAACAAACTGCTATTTCAGAACCCCAGTAAAACTGAAACAGATAATACAGGGTACCCTTGAGTTACAACTGGGCTAATACACAAACAACTTGAGTTATAATCAGAATTTTAGTTTTAACTTACAACCAATGCCTTGAGTTGTGACCTGAATGCCAGCTGCCCAGGTGGTCTCAGATATAAATTTAATACTTAAGAGTTCTGGAAGGAATATTACAACATCCTTTCCTGTATGGGATTAACTGAGAAATCCTGGGCCAATGTCTCTAGAAGGGCACTGAAATCTGCCTGAATACAGGAGACTTTGAAGGCTGTGTGAGAAGCCTGAGCCTTTGATTGACAACTTAAGTTATAACCAGTCTTGGGGAACAAATTTGAGTTTGTAAGTCAAGGACCCACTGTACAATTACATATCTCCTGCAGTTAAATAATATTTTTAAATAAACATTTTTCTCAATGTTGTTTTTCTCTAAATACCTGTACAATCAATTCACCCTTTCTGGAACATACTAAGTTGGTAAAAGGCAAGGGGTCTGTTCTTGAAGATATTTGGCAATGGGTTAACTAAAGGCATTGGGAAGCCAGAAAAGTACACAATCATTCAATGATAATTACCCACAAATATATAATAAAGAACTAATGAAGCAGTTGATTACTGTCACTTTTGAAAAGAAACTTTTATGGTGATGGCATTGAGAAAATAACAGATGACTATTTTCAAAAAAAGTTACTTACTCATATACTAGCACTTCTAAAGACACACTATGATTTGTTATTCACAGAAAAAGATTAAACTGTGAACACAGAAACAAATTAACATGTAAAGCCCCACCCTCTCAAAGATCTGAAGAAAATAACATTATTTAGACTATAAAAGCCAGGCAAGTACCTACATAATCAGGTAACAACACTCAACTTCAGCATGGATTCTATTAAAAAAAAAAAAAAAAAATCTAGCTCCAGGAGTGGTGGTGCACCCCTGTAATCCCAAAATTTGGGAGTCTGAGGCAGGAGAATTATTGGCAAGTTCCAGACCAACCAAGCATGGGCTACACAGTGAGTCCAAGACCAGCCTAAACTGCATAGCAAGATCCTGTCTCAAAAAAACCAAAACCAAGGGTTGGGGATTTAGCTCAGCGGCATAAGTGCCTGCCTTGCGAGCAGGCAGTCGTGAGTTCGATCCCTGGTACCGATAAAAAGTAAAAAGACAAAAAACAAACAAACAAACAAACAAACAAAACCTTAGCAATTTCAAAGTCTTTTGTTTATTAAAAATATAAATAAATTCACAATCTGGGTATGCATCTTTCAAAAAATCTTTGTATGTTTCTTTACTCAAAGTCATCCATACTTGAAAATTCTACAAAAGCAGAATCTACTTAATAGAGAACATTAGCTCATTAACCCACAAATGGTTCATTTTAACAAATTTAGAAGAAAATAGAACAATGTTTCAAGTTATATTTATTCTATTTATTCTTTTTCACAGTAAATTCTATGTACTAGCATTTTCAAATAAAATTTACCCTTTTTAGAAAGCAATTTAAACCCAGTTCAACTCATTGTAGGGGATGTAATGACATTTGAAATGAGTGACATCAACAAGCAAATACATATACTACAGAAAAACTATCTCAGGCTGGGGATTCAGCTTAGTGGCATAAGCACCTGCCTAGCAAGGATAAGGTCATGACTTTGATCCCTGGTACAAAAAAAAAAACCTATTTCAAATCCAGATTTGTATTTTCAGTATAGAAACATGATGAGGGTGGAGAAAATGGGAAACCAACATTCCATATCTCTACCCAAGATCATTATTTCTCTACTTCTTGACTTTTTTCCAATGGCTACATGCAAACCCAAAAGAAATCTTAATTTGAAGGAACTTTTCTAATTTAGGAAGAAAAACAGTAGTTTATTGCTTCCTACTTATAAAAAAAATACACAAAGTATTTCTAATGCTTCAATAAAATTAAAAAAACAATGATAGTGAAGTACTTCTTAAAATTATGATATATACAAAATGGAATGTGAATAAACTCAATTATGCAATGGTCACACCTTCTTCTATTGTAATCATAATACAGCATTCAACTGTACCTATTTATATCAACTATTAAGTTATATACAGTCACAAAATTTTTTTCACTGTTTAAAATATTCCCCCATATGATAATTAATAAACATTTGAATTGTTACACAATGATTCCTGTTATACAACATTTTCTTTTTTTTTAAAAACTGTATCTTGAATTGAAAATAAGGGCTTATTTCTTATACAGTGTTATGATTTAGCTCTAGAATGTTCCCTAAAACTCTCATGTCCTCAGAGGCAGGGTTTGTGGAAGGTGAATGGATTCATCTACTAATGAGCTCCAGTATTTGCATATGTTACTAGGAGGCAGAGCCACATTAGAGGGAGATCACTGGGAAAATGACCAGGAAGGGTGTACTCTTATTCCTTTCTTTTTGTTTCCTAACCATCCTTAACTGTAAGCAGCTTTTCTCCACTGCTTTCTTCTTGCCTTGGAGCCTGCCATCTGTACACTGAGTTTTCTAAAAACTGTGAACCAAAATAACTTCTCCTTCTAAAGTTGTAGGTATTGGGTATTTCATCACAGTGATGACAAAGTGACTAGAACATAAAGCCAGGAAAAGAAATACAATCAACTTTAACTTTAAAAAGTAAAATGTGGGTTCCGGGAGAACACAGCAGATAGATAACAGCAACTACAGAGGCTCTCTGAAATACCCAACTTAGAATCCAGGAATGGTGCGGTGTGAGGAGTCCTAAGCAAGGGGAGACATACCCTGCAGACCCATGAACAAACTAAGCTGAGAGAAACCAACTGGAAATGCAATCCCGGTGCTATAACCAGAACAGATAAAATCTCAGCGCCGAATTGAATTTCCTGCCACCATTGCTGCTGCATCTGAATCAGCACAGCAGGGACAGAGACGCAAAAGCTCTGAGAGCAGGAATCGGCGAACAGAGTTGAGAGCGGGACTGGTGGGGAGCCCTGCATCCACCTGCGGTGAGTGAGAGGAACGGGCACCCTTCCATAGACTAGGAGGCTCCAACAGAGGGCATTCTGGGACCAGGCCGACTAGCCAGAACACGATGCTGCAGTGACTGTAGTCACCTATTTCACTCTCAAGTGGTTCTGCTGGGGAGCGCTTGGACTGGGTGACACCACGGACTAAGACCCAGTAGGCTGGCCCAGGTCTCAGTGCCTGGCGGTGCACCCTAGCAGTGAAGCCTTCAGGAGGTTGACCTGGAGGGGCAGGCCCAGCAGAGGCTGCCCATATCTGTGTCTCCCTAGTATACTTCAGTGGGAGGGAACCCCTAGCCAGCAGATTCAAACAAATTGTAACCCACAAAGAAAGAAACTAGGCCTCCTATATACGCCTGTATGGAAGGAACAAAAAAAATGAGAAGTGGAGGCAACAAGAAAGGGTCCTCAGTCCCCAATCCTAAGAACACTGATCCAGGAAAGGGAAATGCAAAGGAGAATGAGGACAGAAAACATGCAATATCAGACATGGTACCAATAGACAGAAAGCGTTATCTCTGGAGCCTCATAGACGAGTTCAAAAGCGAAGTATTTAATGACCTAAAGCAAGATATAAGTAGAATAGTTAGAGAAATGCTAAGCACTGCCCAAGAAAAAACAGATGGTAGAATGGAAGAACAGAAAAAAAGGGGAGAATTGTTTGATGGAGAAAATAAGAGAAAACATAGAATATGTGAAGCAGGTTCAAAGAGATTACCAGGAAACTAAAAATTCCACTGAAAGCTGGCATAACAGCTTGAAAGAAACTAAGGATAGATTATCTGAACTGGAGGACAGATGTATAACTTCTTAAAAATAACAAGGAAACAAAACAGCAATAATCCAAAGGCTAGAAGATAATAAGAGGATCTATAACTTAAGAGTTAAGAATGTAAAAGAACAAGTAGGGACACAAACAAATGAACTACAAAGGCTATTCACAGAAATAATCCAGGAGAATCTCCCTAATTTAGCAAAAGGTAAAGATACCAAGATGTATGAGGCATACAGGACCCCAGCCACCTACAACCCAAACAGAGCTACACCCAGGCATATAATAATCAAAATTCCAGAAATCCAATATAAGAACAAAATATTAAAAGCCATCAGAGACAAGAAACAGATCACGTACAAGGGAACACCCATCAGAATTAC